TTTCTGCCTACATAGATAGGTCAAATTGTATATGTGTATAATAGTGCCTAGTGACACCATTATGTAGGAAGGAAATAGTGCATTTGAACACTATTTCCTCCCTCTATAATCATGGTTTTTAAATTTAATGACATACTCTACCAATCGTAAAAAACAGACATACCCCAACACAAAAGCTTCAAAAACATTTGCAAAACAGCTGATGGCAATTAGATATACAAGTATAAAACAACCAAATACTTAGCTGTAGCAACAAGTGAAGTGGTGCTACAAGTTACAAAAAGTCTATCCATTCAGGAGTCATGCAATAAGTAAAATAGCTGTTTGGCTTGCTATTAATAGTACTACTTCATCTCATAACAAGACATTTTCCTTCAATTCCACTTAAGATGATTGACAATGAGCCACAACTCTCGTTATTGCCCTCACCGACGCCATAGGCGTATAGGAAAGGGTACTGCTCTCCTTAATTACATGTACTTCCCCTGCAACTCTTCTATAGACCATTCCCATCCACTAGCTATGCTTAACTAACGCAGAGTTACATGAAATCATACCTTTTCCCAACTTTTCTTTCCCAAATGATGAAATCTTTCTTTTCTTAGGGTCCTCCTGTCAACTTTTCTTGTCTTAGCTCGTGTCTTTGGCATCTTCTATAGATACATCATACATCTTTGTTAGAAACATTCAATTCTACCTCAATTATTAAACAAGGTCCAACAAAAGTAACGTGGATAAAACTGCGATACACAGTTAAAGTGAACTGTCAACAGTCTTATAGCCGCACCTACTCAAATTAATTGCATTATAGATAACAAACAGGAAGTGATATTGATGTGCCATATGCTCTTGACGCCGAATATGACTCATAGAGCGTATGATGATTAATCTACACATGTGAATAAGCATGGCAATTAGCAATGAAGACTGATAGTGAGGAGTTGCACTTCATTTCGAGCCAAGTTCTCAGTTGGATGAGCTCCAGGTGAATACTTCTACCACCAAGTAGGTCAAATCACACATTTATTTTCTGATGAAGTCAAAAGGGGATAAAACAAAAGCTCTAGAGACTATTGTGTATTACATCAAACATAAGATATTATTTTATATGCCTATAATAATAATTTTAGTCATAATTTAGGTTCAACAGATGCTTTTTGCCATCTATATATACAAAGTTTTATCAACACCTTCACTCTTTCAGAACAAAATTCATCGTGTGCAAAGTTAGCGTATTCCCTTCCTGTTTCTCACTTAATCATGTGAGACTAAATTATCATAAACTTTAATTCATAACAAAGTAATCATTTTCATGGAGACTGTAATAATATTCATTAATGCAATATTATATTTATAGCAAAACATTAATGCTGTCACTTGCTCGCAAAAGCTACAATAAATAGAATTATCAATAAAAACAAAATTGCATTTAGTAATGGAAAAATAGCAGTGCTATCTGGTAGAATCATAA